TCTGAACATCCAGCCTCAACTCAATCTCTAATTTCTATCCCTGTTGCGCCTCTCCCTTCGACTTCGCCCTCGGGCTCATTCTTAGGCACTTCTACAGTCGATCAGACCGGTTGTCTTGAAACAGACTTACCCATTTTAATAGTGCATACGCCTTCAGAGCCGCCGGCCAATTCAAGCCCATCATCTGATCAGGTTGCACCCACTAGTCTGGACGAATGGCTGCAACAGCAAAGAAGAATCATTGATGCGGCAGAAACCCGAAAGGCAGTAAGCAAAAGATCGCATCCAACCCATATCACATTTTAATACTGTAATGACTTGTAACTATATTCTCTAATGGAATAGTCTGAGAATATTTGCTTATTGACACACACCAAAGTAAACTACGTTGGCCATTTCTTTAATATGTAAAATACTTTCGACCTGTGAATTAACGTTATATTATCTCTGGTTTGCAACCAACCCTTTGACGATGAGAATGCTATATTTCAATAAACCTGGTCATAAAGATATAGTTGAATCTTGTTTTAGAAAAGATCATTTTATTGGATAGCATATTTGAAAGGAATAGAAGATAGTAAGACTGCTCTGCCGATTCGACTTAAAGATGAAAATTTTCTTTTTAGCATATTGCACCCAGAGCCTGTTAAGCCTTGGATTTTATTTTGAACTCTTTGCTATATCTTTCTTTTTATTCTAGCCTTTAAGAACTTCTATTGAATCCTTAGCGTCTCCAAGCCCTTCGGGTGAGCTTCAGTCGTCTGAAAAACTAAATAAAGCTGAATTCGGGCATCCTTCACTTCCAAATCCTCGTTCTCTTGATTCTTTTATGGAGTATCAGATTGAGCTTCCCAAACTAGTTGACTTCACCTTGGAAGAGTATACTGAAAAAGTGATGCTTTTCGGATACATGGCAGTGAGTAAAATTTCTCCTTTTCATATTTAATTTGGAAGCTGTTATTAATATAGTCGAAGTAGGGTACTCCGCTTGAACCTCATTTCAAGGTTAGTCAGACTTAATCCTCCACCTGAGTACTGCTGTTTGCTTAACTTTTAGAATTAAATAATCTCTCTTTACAGTTGCTTCAGTTTCCATCTGAGAAAAAAATCCGTTTTTATTTATTCTATTAATACATTTTTTATCCTACCCTACTTATAAACGAAAAGTATCTAATGGCAACTGTCTGATATATTATTATGAGTGAAACTAAGCATAGGAAAGATAATAAGTATGAAAACTAAGTAGGCATACTTGAGTAATATATCTACATTTATAGAAGTAGTTTGGCCTTGTTTTCGCAACATGGTTGTATTGTCAGAAAGACATAGAGATAGATACCTTGTCTATAGTCAATAGTATCTATGATTATTTTAAGAATCGGATCGTAAACTTAGCACATCTTTAGACGTTTCGCTGGCACCGTTGTCAGCATCATCAGAGAGCCTTGTCATTCTTAACTCCACACTACAACTCGTCAAAGAGAGACACCACCATCTTGGCCTTCATACTTTTGGTTAATATATATTTATTTGTATTCAGGGGAAATGCCCCTAAAACTAATATTTCTATAAACGTGTAATGCTAGTTATCTCTTATGATACTTTATTCTAATATATTTTTTACGAACTTCCTATTCTCATCCTTAATTGATACAAACAAAGAAACAGGATAGGGGGAATAAACAATGATTTGCTTTACTCCAGACTCAAATATCAACAACAATAGCTTGTGCTCATTAATAGGCAGAAACTTTTTCCCTGTAATGTTGTTATCTCTGCTAATATTATATATTTTTTGTATGTGAGTAGAGTTTCCATACTACCAGCAAATCAGTATATATATATATATATATATATATGAGAAAAGAAGACTTTTACGAGACTAACTAAAAGGTTTAACAAGTTACCTTAATTAAACTCTTTAATTGCCTTTAAAAAATAATTAATTTTTAATGGAATTGAACCTTGCCTTAGATATTTATATTCTTAAGCTTTATCTCTCTCTGCTTTCTCTTAAATCACTCTTGTTTTATCATTTATATTTATATTTTTCCTTTCTCTAGCTTTTCTCAGCTTCTCTACCACTAGCCCCGCTAATCCTTCTTCTTGTCGGCATCTCAGATATTCGAGTCGATGCCCGTCGTCTCCTCCAGCTCTACCAGCGACCGGTACCTCGGATTGCTGGTTCCATCGGTCGGTGTACAGCTCCTTCATATATTTTTTGAACCGTCAAAATAAGTCTGTATCAGATTTCATTGATATATGTAGACATAATTTGTAATTAATTAATCGAAAATGTAAATCGTTCAAATGGTTATTCATATCCTTTTTCTATATAAAACTTTTACTTATAATGGTTTGATTCTATTTTAATGAGTATTGGCTCTTTTTCTTCTTTCTTGCCTGCGAAGTAATTATTCGGTCCTACGCAGTATCTCTCTTGCTATTAGTCAACTGAGTTTCGATAGAATTTTAGCTTAGTAAACTTAATATAAGTCATTTTTTACTCTTTTTTACTGTTTCTAATCGGCTGCATGAACCTGCATTTAGTCCTCATATATGAATAGTATTTCTTTTTCGCGCTGTTCAAAAGTAATTTTTATATAAGTAAACAAGGATACATTAGCAAGTTATTACCACTTTTGTTGTTTATAATTCTCAGAGCATTGCCGCTCTTTTGTCTAGAAAATGCTAACATGGATTTCTTTAAACATTCTTGAGAATCTATTAAAAATTTCATATCAAACTTTATCTAAAGGATTAATGTAGCATGCAAGACTGATTAGATTTGTTTACTATTGAGAGGATGCTTTTACATTTCTTATCTGCCGACCATCATGGAAAGTAATAAAGGACATCTTATATAACATCAAATTTAATGCATGCATAATTAATTTACGAAATTTGATGCGTAGCTTGCACAAAGAATTAAGTATAATAGATTATTCTGCTTGTCTTTCTGAAATCCTAGTTTAGCACACGAATTCTCTAAACATCTAAACTGGGAGCATCACATCAATACGCTAAATTAGCTATTAAGATTTCATTAATTACAAATATTGTAATTTGCTTTCATTTGATAATCTCGAGGAGCTCTACTAATTTGTATGTAAACACTTAAACCTCTTCTACATTTCACATTTTGACCATATATGATGAGAGCTTTTTGTTTTTACTTAAATATATTTGGAGCATTCTGGCTTTCCCCCTAACTCTTCTACGCCAGCTACCGGTAAAGAATTTGGGCCCTAATCCACCTTTTGTTCGCAGCATTCGATGTTTTTATCCTTTTTGCTATTTGCTTTCTGTGTAAATTATTGAAATCGCCTTTACTGTGTCTAAGAAGCGGAAAATTTTGACAATATACAGTCAAATAGTTGGCTTTCCAAATAATATGCCCAGTTAACTTTTGCCTTTCGCTAAAATTCCCTTTGCTTACTTTTCCATAATAATACTTCCGGTGCCTTACATCCAAATATAGCTCTGTAATCTGCTACAATTGCATTATTTCTCATATCATCAACGCGATTATTAAGTACCTGAGGTGCGATCGAGTATTCAACGATACCCATACTCAAAGTGGGCTTTTGGAGTCGATACTGGAACCCAGTTTGCTTAATCCCCTCATTAAGGAAACTTTTGAGTCTTTTATTCCTTTTCACTCACATCCCGTCTTCCCTAACCATCCACCTCTGTGTTTTATTATTCTTTAAACCACTTTTTCTACAGGTATGTGGGAATCGATTATGGCTTTCCTTTCCTATTGCGGAATTGTTTCAAATGCTTTCCTTATCGGACTAACATCGTCTTGGATGCAGCAGTATACGCTCACAACCAGGCTAATCATCATTCTGGCCCTCGAGGTCTGTCTCTTATAATGCAAGAAATGTTTTTCAAATTATTTGTAATAAAGGTTTGAGGTTCTACAAATCGCTCATAGTATAGCCTATTGTCCAGCAGAAGCATTAAGCCAGACTAGGACTCGTTTTAAATTAATCATTTTGGCGTATTTTCCCATTACGACGCTCATATGCCATTCCATTATCTTGGATATAGGGTCATTTGTCCATACTTGGTTATGCCTAGAAAAATCACTCTCAGAATAAGCCAGTTGAATGACCTTATAAAAGGAAATTACATCGTTAAATGACTCGATTCTTTATTCGGTAGGAAAAATTGGTTGAAACGGACTCGTGAATTGACTCAGTCATTGTGACGAAACTGAATGTACAATATAGATAAATAATGAGGGAGTTAATTTTCAACTTCACATGTGCAATTTTGTAAGTTTGCAGTTTGTACTCCGATAAATGCTCTGCTTGAATAAATTCATTTTCCCACTATTTTTTGTCACAAAAACGATAGACCTTTCTTGCAATTTGCTTGCGCGTACAAATACTTTAGGCTGAGTGTCTAGTTTACGTTTAACAATTAAAAGATATGGAAATTCATTTTGCCCAGCTTTCTAGTGTTATAAGTTTTTATAATTAGGAAATACAATTAAAAATATAAACCGATATTTCAAGATGTAATTGATTATAAGTCGATCACTAAATAGACAAAAGTTGTGCTTTCCAATAGTGGATACGAAGAGAAACTTGATTTCGATGAATCTCCTGAGATAACATTGTTAGGGGGACCTTCATTTCGTATTAATGTGCATGAAGAAGAGATTCGTTGGTCGATCTCACCAGATGAGGACGGATGAATCTCGTATTACTGCAGCCATTTGGCTTTTATACTATTTACATGTTGACGCAGTCCACGGGACTTCCTCCCTCGTTGACAAATATATTCCTGAAAAATAATTATCCTTTGGGCCTAATTGAGAATAATATCTTTCTACTGAGGAATCAATTTTCAGACACATACCATTTAGTCAAAGAGAGACAAACTGAGACCTCTTCCCATGTCCTAATTTTGCCGTCATGCCTTCTCTCCAAAAAGATAAACGAATTAGTGAAGAAGTGGGGCACAAAAACAGTGTTCAAAGAAACCCTCACACTTTCTTCTATTATGACATCTTTTAGATATAAATATGACCCATTATGGAGATCCGGCTGATACAAGATTGTTTGCTCATGTGGTCGATGTAAGTTTGGTGAGACATGCCGACCTATTTGACAAAAATTGGTAGAACACAAAAATGCTTGTAAAGGAAGCTGGGTAAAACGGTCAGAAGTGGCCGAACACATGGTAGAAACGGGACATGAAACAGAATGGTCTCAAACTAGTAGGTT